GCATCTAATGATCTTTTTCTTTCAGATTTAAGTCTTTGGAAATTTCAACCATGGAAAGATTAGCAATCAAACAGCGTGTTAAAGTTATCAAAGCTTATTACTAAAATGGACATTCAAACATAATCGACCAACTGATAGTGCAACTGGAAAAATTTTCTAAATTCAAACAAACTGGGTCGGTAGCAGATGTGAAAACACCATTGCATGCTCGTTTACACTATTCAGCTGAAAACATTGCTGTAGTGCACAAGAATGTAACCAAAAATCCAGGCACCTCCATTTGTCATTGCACACAGAAATTGAACCTCTCCACAACAACATTACATCGAATTTTGACGAAAGATTTGTCGCTACATGCTTACAAAATTCAATTGACACAAGAACTGAAACCTGCTGACCATTTGGAGCACTGTACATTCATCAGTTGAGTGCATTAGCAAAGACAAGCCAATGAAGATTTTTCGCAAAAATCCTCTTTAGTGATGAAGCAGACTTGTCACATTTGAGCTGATGAAAATCCAAGGAAGACTGTTGAAATGCCACTGCATCCACAAAGGTCACTGTTTGGTGTACGTTTTTTGCTAGCGAAATCATATATTTATAAATTTGAATGTCCATTTTTGTAATAGGCTTCAGTAACTTTAACATGTTTCATTGGTAATCATTCCAGGATCGAAATTGCCAAAGACTTAAGTTGTTAAACCTGAAAGAAAAAAAATCATTAGACACTTAAACTTAATTCACATTTAAAATCTGTCCAAGTTATTAGAACACCCTATATTAGAAACATTCCTTTTCAGTGTATTTGCCATATTTATTTACAGGTCGGCCATAAAGCCTTCCTTTATTTTGTGTGATGAATTGTATGTTAATTTTCATCTGATTGATTTAAATGTTAGCCTCTTTTGTATGTTATTTCATAAGTTTCATACATTTGATATTTTCAAACTTTCACTGGTGTTGTAACATTTTTAAAATGTAGCCCCACTGATTTTTATGTAAAGTACTTAATTTTAGTTTGATTGTCAATGAAAACATAATCTAAAGATTCAATATGTCAAGCAATAAACAATTCAAAGGCACATAGATCAAAAATAAAAACATATTTGCATATACATAATCAGAAATTCACATACTTACGCATGATAACACTTAAGTTAGAGATTGTCTTGAACATAATTAATTTTTAAAACTCAATCATGAAACAAATGAAATATGTTCAAAATGCATAAAACTTCTGAAAATATCATCAAACAGTACTCTGATACAATCAGACTGAAATTAGATAATCTAAAACCTATGGAAGGTGATAAAATATGTTCTGTTACCACAGTACAGAAACTTGTTTTATTTTCCCTTTATTTGTCCCTTTCATAGTTTAGGTACCTTTTAGATAGGTCACTATTTTGACTACTTCTGGTTAACCCTTAGTATATCAGGGGAACCCCTTACAATAAAAGTAAGACACCGAGTATGTGGTCGTTAGTTTTATTATCTCGTTCCCAAGTTAACCATCATCAGTTTGTAACTTTTGATAACTTTTTCTCTACATTTATTTTATTTCTTTGTTATTATTATTATTTGAATGTTTGTTTAAAATAGCCATATTTCATGTTTGTAACTCTCTGTATAAACTCCTTTCAACATGTCTACATACACTGTTGCAAAATGTAACCCCCTTTTTCCACGAGCACCCTGCAACATTAGAATGTATTCTCGCAACAAACTTTATACCTATTCATGTAAACAAAGTATTTGCTCCCTCCCCTTATCCATTTAGACAAACGGTCATAGTTTTATGTTCAAGTCTCCATCTGCTTTTTGCCAAAGTGAAAGAAACATAACCTATCGTTATTCAGAGCTGGCATGCTATGAGTTTTTTTATTGCGTGAATACCCAAAAATTGCCCTGCCTGTAGGGTTCTCAACACATGCATGCCTAGTAAAAAGGTTTAACATCTGCTATACCACAAATAATTATAATTGATATTAGATAATGAAGAAAAGAGGATTTAACTTATGTGAGTAGTTGATTTATGTAGAATTTGAAAAGGAAGTACTTATTTTTTAATTGCTACATTATTCAATTTTTTTAAGAAAAACAATCTCATTAATGTTGGACAACAACAACAACAAAAAGATGTGTCAAAGGGACAGTTTTTCCCTTGACACTGCTATTATTTTAACTACCTTTTCTCCTCAATAATGTTTGTTTTTCAAAAGCTATGATTATAATTGGAATAAAACCGAAACACATGAAAGTGAATTTATACATTTTCTTTGTTCTTGAGAACTGATAACAAAAATGATAAAAAAAAAAAATCTCTTTTTTATGAGATTGTTTATTCACGCTATATCATTTATTGGAATGGTTGAAAAAAAAAACATTGGCTAAATGCCAAGTCATTTGAACTTTATAAAATGGTAAATAAGTTGGTTCACATATTTTAATAATTCGGTAAAGGTTTATAAATTTATGAATAAAAAATTGATTTCATATTTATCGTTTTTATAAATTGGTAAATGATAAATATTGCATTACATTAGTTTTTATACTGTTATAGTAAGCGTTTAGCTGTGAAAAAGGAAAAAGAAAGGAAAAGTATAATGAGGATTAAGTTTTTGAACAATGTGTAATTGAAAAATTGATTTTGGCATGAGGATCACAATTTAGTGTCAGGAATTGAGTGATTTGGGTGGGGTGGCTTGACCAAGGTCACTAGATATAGTTGTTAGTTGGGTCTGACACATTGTGGCGGATTGATTTGTGGTTAGGTGCATTGGTTGCTGAGGTGACAAAACTGGGTCACAGTGATGACTACAAAGGGAATGCCTGTATCAAATTAAGTATACTGAGGCAGCAGTAGTTCGTAACCTGTGACGAGGAATTGGTGTAGGAATTGTGATTTATAAAGACATGGCACTTCATGGTTGTTCAAGTTTTGTTTCTTGACACCTGGAAATGGCTCTAACCCAATGTTGGACCCTCAAAGGTCAGGAGGCTGAGAGCAGGTTAAATGAAAACCCCTAAGTTTCAGTTTGCCCAATGAGAGCCCAGATTTTTAACAGCTGAAGGACCTCTATTTTTAGAAGGGAGTCCCCTTTCCATAACTTGCAGTGGGACTGGAAATTTTATACATTCAATGCAATGCAATAAAGAATTTATTATACATTACTGTTCATGCCTTTCAACTCACCCTGTTGCAGTGTAACAGATTTTTTTTTTAGTTTTTTAAGGATGCAAACAGTGTTTTTAGTTGGAATTTGAAATACAATTTTGCATTAAATCAACCACTTTTTTTTAAGTTAAAATATAAGCACAGATTTTTTTTTTTTTTTTTTAGGTTAAACATAAACCCTTTTTTTTTTTTTTTTCCACATTTATTGTCAGTATTTTTTTTGGTGGTGGTCTTTTAGTATGATTTTTTTTTATTATAAGAATCATATCCTTGATTTTTATTTTGTTTCTTTTAATGCAGGTAATTGATTTCATGTAAATTCTTCCAGCTTTTGTAGAAAGGGTGCAAGTATTTTTTTTCATAAGAATCATTATTTTACAGTGATACAACATTTTGTCTTGATTCTCCAATTATTTTTACAGTAACAACTTTTGTCTTGATTCTCTAATTTCTTTTTTTTCTAGAATTGTTCCCCCTGCCATTGCATTTTTTTTTTTTTTGAGGGGTCAAAGACATGAACACATAGTGTGGCTATCATCTTCAACTACTTCACCATCAATATCCACTTAAGAATAGCCTTCAAAATCATCATTGGAGTGTTAATCGAAGAAAAACACCTGAATAAAGGCTTTGTTGGATAATGATGCAGCCATTTGTGTTTACAAAATATTGCGAAAAAAATTAATGTGGGTTTAATCGATGTTACACGTCATGTAGAGCCTAGAAAAGTGCAAAATGGTATTGGAAAAAAGAAGTTTATCCTACTTCCAAAAGAATATTAGGCGATTTCCAGTTAAAAATACCGGAAATAACAGTTAAAAAGTGTTTATTTATAGCAACCATCTCAAGACAACAGAATGGCCTAGAGCAGCAAAGGGAGAGAATTCTATGGTGACTATTTTCGCCTGCAGTGTGGTAAAGGTTAATGAGGAGAGATCTGGTAGTACTTTTTGATTCATGCATATTTCATAGGTTGGCTTGGAAAATGAGCTTACTGTTTACATTTGGATGTCGAAAACAATTATGTGTTATAGGAAGCAATTTGCTTTCAGAACATCTGTAAGTTAGAGGTCTTGAGTTCATAGCCTTCTGTAATACCTTCATTGTGGTCAGCCTGGGGTGAATCCTGGTTTAATTAATGGTGTGATTGCTTCAATCTTGACTTGTCCTACTCCACGTTGTGATTGATTTATAAGGAAGTAAGATCGATTTGTCACAGGTATTTTTGTGTTGGGCTGGTCCAAGTCATACAGTAAAATAGGAGGAAAAAACAGTACTTGAAATATTTAAAAAAAAAAAATATCTTTACTATTTCTATATCAAATACTGCGTAGAATGGTTTGTTAGTAGTTGTTAGGGTCTAGGTGTTAGCATACAGGAGCTTGTCGACTCAACCCATTCCTAAATCAGATGCAACACTTGAATAAGCTGGTAAGTTCTGGCTTGCAGAGTTAGCAAAATTTGTTTTACTGATTTGGTAAGTTTGGCTCAAGGCTGATGTTGCAGAAGTCGTTGAATCTCTCAGTGCCCTCTGCCACCTCTCTTCTGTCTCTTTTCAACTCTCAAACTGTTTGAATTCGCTTTGTGCATTCGTATTTATGGACTCTAGCTAGAAACCAGTGCAGGGCAAGATGTAGTTTGGGTCTTGGTGAATCCCCTGATTTCCAACATGAGTCCATTATTGTCTGCCAAAACAAAACTGGTGTAAGGGTGTGATGTAGTTGGGTGGGGGGGATTGGTATTTCATCCACCTGTCATTGCTATTGTTTTTGGTCATGAGAAATTAAATTACTTCATAATTTTGGGGAATTCCCCTTCTCTTATGGGAGATGAGTGCAGGCATTGCGCTGCCTGGTTACTTCTACTTTCTCTTATTACCATCTCCCACCAGTACTCTCCAGTGGGTATAGGCAGCTCCTTCAACCTCCTTAATGTCTCGTCTGTGCCTACTACCCTTCAATGGGTGCAGGCAGCTCCTCCTCATTCCTTGATCACTCTTCTGTGCCTGTTACCTCCACCATTCAGTCAAAGACTAATTAAAAAAAAATTATTGTTCCAAATGCTATCATCTCATAAGTGAATTGACACAACAATTGGCTTTCTTACCTTTGACCTAATTTTCCCAGGAAAAATTTTGCAACTCATGGTAAGAATTCATTTGGCCCAAGGTCAACATATCTGCAGGTGTTCAGTTTATTGTTTTCAATCCTGACATCTCTGCAAAAAGATTTTATTTGTAACTGGCATTTAATCTAATTCCCCTCATGTTGATTTCACTGGTGTTGTCTGTTGAATACTGTCAACACTTGGCCCATCGTTAAAACCAAGAATTGCTCTCACCTGTTTCATTTTATAAACCTTGATTCTCTGGGAATCAGTTATCAGTCTATCATTCTTAATATTCATTTAACCTATTCCATGGTAGTTTATTCATCCATCAATATCTCTTTTTCATTGATATTCCAAGTCTTTATTATTAATTACCAGCAACCCAAATAGTGTTACACTCTTAATGACTGATATCAGGGTTATGAGATCAAAATATTTTATCTTAGATTTTCCAATTGTTTTAAAGAGACATGATTTTATCACTCTTATTAATCTTTCCCACATACTGCCAATCCATGGAGAATATAGAGATATTTTCATGTGTTTGAGTTGTTCTCAAAACTTTTCATTGCTTCCAACTTCTGTGCTGAATGATCTCACTTTGTCACTATATATATGTGTGCTGGGGGGTGCTATAATAGTTGCAGAATCTTATTAGAGCCTGAACAAATGATAGGGCACTTGTGTCTGGTACAATGTTGACATGAATGACTCTCACACTTAAGCAAATGAAGATCAGTAGATATTTTTCACTGATTTATTTGTCACTTGAACACAAACATATCCTGTATAATTAATGTCAGTTTGTTGGAAGGGCTTGACAAATTCAATTCTATGTTTAGGGAAATTGTAAGCTTTGGGTACTTAAAGGCCAAGTTGTTGAATCTTTTGTAGGTACAGCATTTTGATATGCTTTTTGTAGAATAACAATAATAAACAGCACTTACCGGCGTAAGAGTCCCAGCTAGCGTCCAGCTGGCAGACAAAAATAAAGCAGGTTGTAACTTAATACAAACCCTGCAAACTAACTGAGAAATCATGCTAGCATTTATATAGAAATACTTCCACTCAGGTACCAGCAGCCAATCACAGCCCAAGCAATGGAGTATTCACTCAGCTTGCTCCACAACTGAGTGTTTATCTTGACCACGTGATTGTTCGACACTTTTTACTGCTTGTCGAGCCTGAGGTACCCCAAATTCTGAGCTTTAATTTGGTTGCTGTTGCATTGATACCCAAATGTTTGCATCTATGGTGACAGTCATTTATTATTAATTCAGTTAAGGGATGGTGTTTACCAATTAAAATTGGATAAATTAATTCATCATCACACTCTGGGGTATGAGCGATTCTACATGCCTTCAGGGTCCAGAAATGGGTTGAGATTTCTTACCAGCTCAGAAATTTTCTCCTTCTTAGGGTTTTTCAGATATTCTAACTCCTTGCCGAATGTCCGTTGTTGCATGATTTTCAGTAAATGTAATCTTGCTGTCTGTTTAGTGTCAGCGTGGTTTCCAAGATGTTTACATTTATTTATGAATTTGAACACAAGGGATGTTGCTCTTAATAATCTTGCAAATTTAGAAAATCTTTGAAATGGTATCATAGGTTCCTTTTTTTTTTTATTTCAAGAGCTGTTGTGTGTAGAATGTTGGATTGAACCAAATTTTTGTTTTTTAAACTCAAACAGTGCCGATTGCTACTGGGACATAACACAGTTTTCTGTTAACCACTTCAGCCCAGCTGTCCTGTATTCCACTTTCTGGCAAAGTTTCTCTAATGACATGCCTCTGCATAGAAGATCTGCTGGGTTTTCTCTGACTGAGACAAACTTGAATTTAATTTTCACAGCATATTCTTTGTCTGTTTGCTTTGCCATCTTCTGTAATGTCCTTTGATTTATCTTTTGTATATAAGATTTTTGTTTTTATTTTCTTGGAGAGTAACCAAAATAGACAATTTGGGTATCTACAGAAATATAAACATTTTCAATCTTTATTACGGAATAAGTTCTTAACAGAAAGGGCAGAGCTTTTATGGTGAAGTATACTGCCAGCAACTCCAAAGTGGGTAATGTTTTCGTTTTCATGGGAGCTACTTTAACCTTAGAAAGCACAATACGCGAGTTGCCACTTTGGGCTCCATAAACAACAAGTCCATAGGCATATGGTTATTTTATGCCGACAAGATTTTTAGGATAGGTTTGTATGAATAGAATATGTATTGTTTGCAAGAAACCAGTTTGTCGACCAGGTTTCTTTGACATACCTTTGTAAAGAGGGTTTTTATCGAGAGTCAAATGTATTTTCAAAATTGTATTGTTGGTAATATTTTTTTTTCTAAAATGTAATGGTAGTAATATTTTTATTTATTTATTTATTTTTTTTTTTTTTTTTAAATGTATTGCTGGTACTATAAAATTTTTTTTTTTTTTTTACTTTCATGGTGTTTTGACCCCAGTTTGGAGTTACTATATTTGACGGCATATAAGACACATGAGCGTATAATATGCACCCCAATTTTGGCAGGGCAAATCAAGAAAAAATTGGTAATTAGTAAAATTATTAGTATATGGTACAGCCTAGGCTATATTTATGAGGTATTATTTTGGTTAAACAAGTCATGATTACAATTAAATGAAAAATAATAAAACAAAAAGAACACTAACATATAAAAACTTTATTATATCCAAAGGTAAGAAAACAAAATAAAAATCAAGCAATTGTTACAATTAAGCAAACAGTACAGTTACCATTAAAATTCAGTCAAATATTCCTTTATGTGATCGGTACAACCTGCCTCTTGTAAACATCTTACTGGAATAATTAGGATATAAAAATTCTGATTGTATTTATACCAAGAAAAGTTATTGCAATTAATGAAACAAATATATTTTAGAAATATATAATTTGAATTTATTGCATATAATTTTAGTGAAACAAACTAATATTAAATGTGATGAAATTAATGAATATTATCAATAATAACATTTTTAATCTGCATAATAGCCTTTTAAATAATGACAATAGGTATATGAAAATTACTCTAAAGTCTAAGCTAATAGTTGCCAGGTAGCTAATTTCGGCTGACTATTGCAAACTTTAAACCTACATATGGCATAAAAGACGCAGCGAATTTTTAAAAGGTATTTTTTACTTAAAGAAAATAAAAAATGCGTCTTATATGCCATCAGATACGGTAACTATTTGTCCATAGCTGGAACCCTAACAGGTACTACCACCCCAGGGCAGGGTGGACCTGGGAACAAACAGCGATTAAGGTGGTTCCACACTCCTCAACACCTTCCAGTCAGAAGCCTTGATGCTGTAATGTAATTTATTGTCATACGCAGGATGATAAAAGTCAGTCTAACTTTTATTAATACTAAAAAGGTTTACACAAAAAAAGATAATTAAAAAAAACAATGAACTCCCTACAAAATTTATAATGCTTTAAGCTTTAAAACTTAAAACATTTTATTTTTAGAATAATGAACTTAGCTGGATTATCTTTTATTAAATTTTGATAAATCATTGAAGAGGGTACTCGAGAATTATATTTTTTTTTTTTTGATTATTGGATGTGACGAAGAAGAAAAACAAACATCAGTGTCTTCCATTTTAATTTTTTACTCCACTGGTAAAATTTTTTTTTTTTTTTTTTTTTTACTCATGTGAGAAATTCACAATTTATTATCGACAGTGTCAGAGATATATTTACCCGGCCTCCCTAAAGCAGGACACAACCTCATTTTAAACGTTGGGGAGCGTCATTCTCATACGAATAGAATGGAGATCACCGATGGTCTTCTTGAGTCTTGCTTGACTCTTGCTTGATGAGTGTGTGAAGAAATTTTTCACTCTGAAAATGCCAAGAAATCTAAGTCACAAGGAACCAGATCTTGTCTAATCGTTTTTTTTTTTGTTGTTGTTTTTTTTTTTTAGCTTGTTTTATTTATGAAATATTTTTACGACACGTTTCTGTCGTGTTTTCCATTTAATTTAATCCTTTCTTTATTTTATATTTTCACTTCGACATTATTACTACATAAAAACGAACAATACAAAAATTTGATAGGTTTTACTTTAGTTTAGATTAGAGAAATACCAACAAAATCATTTGAGAACAAAAGAATCACCCCTTTTGTTTTTCTCTCCTTTAAATGTTCTGGCTTGAAATACTACTAATAATTTTGATTAAAAAATAATAATAACGAAAATGTTATTTCTTGATATACCTCACTATTTTTCATTTCTTCTTTTAGTGTCAACTATCAACGAACCAGTAAATGAAAATAAATTTCGCTCTGATTTTCATGGCAGATATTTCGAAATAATACCTTTTTTTTTTTTTTTTTTTTTATTTAAATATAAACTCAAACCTCCATAACGCGGTACATAAGGAAGGTTTAAAAAAATGAATTTCAAAAAGTGAAAAATCATTCTTTAAGTAAGTTTAAGCTTTTTTTTTTTATTAATTTCAACCTAATAAATTTAATATTTCCAAAAAGCAAAATACTTCTTTGACTTTGCTGTAATTTAAAAATCACGAAAACGCTAAAAATAATCGGCATGCTGTGATGAAACCTGCTCCAGCCTAAATGAAAACAGTTTTATCGTCAAAATGATTATGTTAGAGATGAAGGAACAAAGTATTTTTTGATTATTAAATCTTTTACAGTTTATTCCTTTTTAACATTCGAAATGTTGATGAAGAAACACCTTGTTTTTCTTGCGTCGGCGGTTGTACTAACTTTTTCCGCGTAGCAAATTTTTTGCGGTAATAGACATTTGGAAATTCTTGTTAAATTTTAATGAAATTTTCAGGATTTATTCAAAAATAAATGAAATTATTTTTTTTTTTTAATTATTAGAAAATATTGATTATTACATGTTTTTCAATCCCTTGCGGGCTTGATTTTATGAAAAGTTGAGAAATTCAACGTGATAGTCTTTTTTAGTGACTATATAAACAAAACCAGAATTCTTTGAAGAATTTAATTCACCGAATTTTTTTTTTTTTTTTTTTTTTGCAAAATCGGACCTCGTCTTCTGTTCTGAATCAAAACCTAAAAAAAAAAACACACACACAATAAAAGTAAGAATTATTTTATTAGAGAGACTTTTTAATTGCTTCCAATAATAATGTAAAGAGAATATTGTCCTGAAAAAAAATTTCGACTTAAAATGAATTCTTACAAGATTTTTCATTTTTTTTTTTACTACAATTTTAAATTGAATAATTTATAAAGGTTTTAAATCTTTTAAAATTCATTTTCAATGAGATAATTCTTAGGAAATATTGTTAAAGTAAAAAAAAAATTGTAATCATGCATTGTAAAAAAAAAAAAAAACTAAACTTTATTACAATCTGTCAACCCTGAATATTTTTAAAAGAATTTCGATTTGTTTTTGTATTTTTAATGTTCCTGTGTTCTTTCGTTTTCAGTCACTTTTAATATTAATGATCACACATTGTGATAATAGAAGATTTGCCAAGAAAGATGAAATGTCATGTTTTCTCATGAATTTATAAAAATGTCTAATCACATTTTTAATCACATGCTCATACTATTTACCAACAAAAAGAGTGATGATATTTGAATGACGTCAGACGCTAGGCGAATAATCAAAGGGACGGCAATCCAGCATCTTCATTCTTCAACCAAATCTAGTAACACGTTAAAATATTAACAGGAAAATTTTTCTGTTCATTTAATTAAACACGAAAACATTGCGTCAGAAGTCATTCAGCATATAGCCACTTCCGCAAGATGTGCAGTTCAAGATGCAGTTACATATCCCATCAATTCTGAGGTTATAGCTGATACCTCATTCAACTTCTTATATGAAAGAAAACTCCCCATTCTGGCTGCTAGGTTGTTGTGTTCTTTGTTGCCTAGTGGCTCATAATCGGGTTTTAAAAGTAACCTAACCATGTTGCCAGTGCCCCCACCCTTTCCAATTTGTGTATAGCAGGTTTTATTTTCTATGAAGCATTTGCAATAGGGTGCATTTTCATGTCATCCTAGCATTTTAGTACCATTACACGAAAAACATTCGATGAAGAATTTTGCAGAAACTATGAATTCTTTTGACGCACTCTACGATGTATTGATTTAGAAATACCATCAGAAGGCTTTTATTTTTGGTTTGGCCAATTATAGATGATTAGTCTGTGTGAAGAAAATTCTACAAACATAAATTTTGTTGCCCGCCTGGCACAAGGTCAATAACTGACAAAACGACCTTTAAAAAGGTCTTTTGTATAAACAAAAGAAAGAGATATTCGAATTTATATACAGAAATTTACATTTGCTAGTTGCTGAAATAAAATTCTGAGATTGTATCTTTTCAAATCTTTTTTTTTTTTTTTTTTTTCGTTGTTTGCTGACAGTGAGTAAAGTTTTTTCACCATTTTCTTTTAAAAGATATTGTTCATAATAATTTCTGTAACAGTGAATAAACTGTCTTGGTTTGAAATATTTCAGTCAATGTAAGATTGGATGTTTTGATTTGTTTCTTTTTTGTAAGTCAGTTTTTAAATCCCCAATAATGTTCTTTTAAAAAAACAAATCAGTAATTTCGCTCGTAAGAATATCCTAAAATGAACAAAGTTGTCTAACTTTAAGTGTGAATGGTTTGCAGAGAGATCTTTTATGTTCGTTACAATTGCATTACATACTAAGAAATAGAATTTTAAAATAAATGATAAAATAATAAATTCAAGAATGAATGAATTTAGCAAATGTAAGTCTGGTACGCAAGCTTACAAGATGATAAATTTGTTATTGAAATAGAATACTTTTTTTTCTTTGGGAAATGTGTCAGTTTTTTTTTTGTTTTTTGTTTTTTAGAAAAGTGTAATTTGAAATGGATGTGTGTGTGAAAAAAAAAAAGGTTATTTTTTTAACAATATATGTTATGCAATTTTTACAAAAGTTGATGCAGCTTCTTTTTTGTAGTGACCGTTGAATTTTTTTATACAGTATTTGAGAAAGGTCTGTTCAGCTTCACTGTATTCAGTTGCAATTCTTACAGTTTCAGGTTTCCTGTTGGGAACTTCTGTTCTCACTGGTGCATGATTCGCGCGCTTTAGTTTTTTCGGAAATTTTATTTTCTGAAAGAAAATAAAACCTGCCGCAACAGTATTTCTCTATTGCCCGAATTAATAACGAAAAAGAAAGAAAAAATGCAAATCACATTCAATTACAAAGAAAAAATATCTATTTCTAACCAGCTAAATAAGGCTTCTTGCAAAAAATTCGTCCCTTTTTGCTGAGAATAAGATAACCTATTCTCTGAGTAACACAGACTTAAAAATTACAATGCACTAAAAACAAAAACAAAAAAAAGAAGAATAGCGTCCATCTGCTGTGTCAATGATAAAAATAAAAAAGGCGGGGAAGAGCCTTAGCTCTACAGTACACTTTTAGTCCTTTCAAGGTTCAAAAGATTTTATCATTTTTTCTTTTGTCTCTTGTGTAGACAAGGTTCTCTTCTTGGTGGCCAAACTCCCTCCTTTCTTCACTTCTTTTCCTCCCGTCCTCCTGGAAATTACGCCTTTCTTTTACGGCCGCTAGAAGGTGAAAATTTGCTTAAACACGTGGTAAAACGCCTTTTGAAAACGCACGTGTTTGCTCCTTCTTCTCTAACGGCTTTAGCTCCAAACTCCACTTATGGACTTCTTTTCAAACTTTCTTTTCTGGGGCTTCTTCAAGAGGACTTCTCAAAACTTTCTCTGAAGGGGAAACTTGCCCTCAGCAACTTTGTTACCCATGCATCCTTCTACTTATGGGCAAACGCTGCCTGCTTTTTCAAACGAAACTCTTCTTTCTAAGCTGTCTCGTTTCGGTTTTGTTCCAGTTCTCCCTTCCCCTTCAAAAAGGTGCGGTTCACCTTTGAACCGTCCAATCACAGTCCATTAAAAAAAATATCAGCATGTTCTTAGGGCCAGTAACACAATGAGTGTCTTTTGTTCCCCCTTCACCTTAAAAATTTTCAAAGTTTATGCACCTACTTGGTACATGGTTGCCAAAAAAAAAACAAAGACTAGACTCTTTTTCAAGAAAAATCGTTAGAATTCTGAAAAATACGTAGGCATTATACAGTTTTAAATTAAAATTAGCCACAATGTTTACTGAAATACATCCATGTTTCAAAATTAATTAAAGATAGACCTCTAAACAGGTACTGAGATAGTGCACTTTTGATGGAACTGGATGCTTTTGCGTGAATCTCTACAATTGTTGCAACGTGCGGACATATTTTCAGTAAATATTTAATGGTTCTTGGTACATTTATCATACAAACAATATCGGTGAATTCGTGTGAGTCCAGCCAAAAATAACATGCCAATGGAATTTAAACAAATACATCATAATAAATATATTAAACTGATATGATACCAAATGAATAACAAGAAATGAAGTTAAAGTTGTGAAGAGTTCAAAGCAACATTTAGTATGTGTCTTGCATGCCGATAGAATGAGAAGAGAGTCTTGTCACTGCCAAAGGCAAAATGGAAAGAGGAAACGGCTTTCAAATATCTCACCACCTGTGATCATGTTCAGGGGGCGGCAATCCAACAATACCTTATTTTGTGACATTCAGTTCTGGTAAGTGTGAAATACGAGTAACTCTGACTGGGTCTGGTCAAAGACAATTGGCACTGAGTATGCGTCCCAGAAAGTTGAATGACATTTTTGATATCTTACACTTTTCGAGGTTAAATGTGATGCCAGCTATGTGGATTGAGGGTGTATCTCGGCCAGTTGTCGTGCTCCTGTTGCTCCTTGCCACGGACTAGTACATCATACTGAATGTCACCACGTCTCTAGCATCCGTGACCTGTATTTCTGGTAGATTTCACTGGCAGATCAGATCCCAAAAGGGAGGCGGTTAAATAGATGTATTCTAAACGAGGTGATGAAAGGTCATCAGTGGGCAAGATGTTGGTAAAATTGGAATTTGCCAATATACGCAATTGACATCTAACTTGCTCATTACCTTACTTCCTCTAGCTGAGTGCATAGGGGAGCAGCTATTGATAGCACATAAAACTTGCATTCAACATGCTTCTTTAGTTTTGACGATCTACACGTATCCTGAGCTTTCCTTGAGATTTGGTACTACTACATTGGGGACATACAATTTTTTTTTTTTTACATTTTTCCATCCTCTGCCTGTATCACTCTCAAAAGGATAAAGGTATACAGTGTAAGGTCTTTTTTTGTTTGATTGCCCAAATTCACATGGAAAATTTCCTACCACCCTACCTATACAGTAAATATTCAAAAACATAGAGAGATGGGTAAATTATCTTTTGACAAGTACTTTGTGTTGATAAATTTGTAATGGCCAATGTAACAAGGAAAAAAAAGTAAAAAGAATTTTATATTACATAAAAATTATCCAGATGTAACTTCTTAATTTTACTGGCAAAGTGATGAGGGAATGTTGGTCTTCAAATTCTATTATCTTTAACTTATCTAGCCATCATCACTGACCCAAACAATCTATAATATTCCTCATAACAAGGAAAATATTTCCATATGAATATGGACAATGGCACAAAAAAGACATTACACTATGCATTAAATACTCAAAATAATAAAGAGATATGTAAATTACGTTTTGACATGCACTTTGATAAATTTGAGATGGCCAATGTAACAAAAAATAAAAATTAAAAAGAATTTTATATTAGATAAAAATTATCCAAACTAGTCTTCAAAATGTATTATGTTTAACTTATCTAGCCACAATGACTGACCGAAATACAATATTCCAGGATTCCTTATACCAAAAGACATTCTTATTTACATTGTGGTGGTATTGACGGCTTAAATCAACCCGTACATTTTTTACTTTACGAATGTGCAACAAACGCAAAAGCAACAAAAGAAACAACAAGAAGCTAACACAAAACGGTTTTATAACAACCAGATTAATCTTTGTCGCCATATTTATCACAACGTTTCGGCCGTTGTACGCTCCGGCCTTCTTCAGGTGGTTGGAATTTTGAACTGAACCCTTTATTTCGCTCACCGGGGTAGACTGTTCTAGTTCCACGTGCCATGTTTGATGGATGTCAGTTATCAGTTATCTTCTACTAATTTCCCTCTGAAAGTTCTCCACTGCCTTAACCGGGTATTGAACTCACACTCTTTGGGTCCTTTCACTGGATTTAACCAACGCCTTTATGCCCTGTGCCCTGTGTCCTTGAGGACATCTGGGTATGACACATGTCCTCAATTTCCCTAATAACTTAGATCAAGTGATAAAATATGGCGACAAAGATGAGGACAATAGAACGAATAATGTAAATAATGTACATAATACCTCATCTCAGAAATATAGACAGAACCTGATTAATATTTATATTTGTTAATTTGTATAATGATGTACAAGCATAGGGGTTACTATTTTTGTTGGTCCCTTTGAGTGAATTAAAGTTTTTACTAATAAAATATTTTTTTTATCTGAGCTCATAGAAGTTGAATGAACTTGTTCAAAATGTTCGCTGTTAGAGATTTGAAAGAACTATAAAGCTGAGAATATGTTGAGTAAACTTTTAGCTACAGAAGGGTTGAAGAAGTGAATGTTCCGTAATGTTTGTAATTAAGTTTCCGTTGCTTGTCATTAAGTTTGTAATGTTCGTAATGAAGTTTGAAAAGTTTCGTAGTTTGGAGAGTTTCGTACGTACGGGCATGCTTGCCTGTGTGAATATGTTGTCATAGCGTCTGACCGCAAGTGGTCGAGACGGGATTCCTTTTACTACTACATTTTAGAGGAAAATCGAGGAAGGAAACGAACTTGTGTCTGGTATTTATAATCATCGTAATCATGTGACAGGCTCGAAAGGCATTGACAGATTTGGGGCGAAATCATTTTTTTTAGTCAGGTCAAGAACTAGGTCGATGTTATTCGAACATGATTTAGAAATATTAAGTGACCAGCCAGAAGTTGAGGTTTTCTGAAAATATGTATGAAGGTGAGTAATCTCTGTGATCCGCTTTTTGCACAGATTTTTGTACAAAAATTGATATTGAAAAAAAAAAAAAGTGTTAGCGGGATGCTAAAAAAAACATCACTATAATTAATGCCCCAGTTTTTATGAAGTCCTAACTAATCCCCTTATATACAATTTGTCTGTGGGGACTAAAAATAGCAATTTAAAAATTTTAAACACATGTGAAGATTTACAACGCTAACAATATTTACAAGAAACAAAACAAAATATGAGCAATAAAGGCTCCCCACCACCCGTATTCCCTAATTTTGGCAGAATCAGTTAACTGGCAAAATTTTCCTGGCAAAATTGTTCTTCATCTTCTCCTATCGGATTTATATTAAAAAGATGTTGCTGTTTTTTTTTTTTTTTTTTTTTTTTTCAGAAATATTTGAACGTTAATGCCGTTCTCAAACTATAGAAAATAACAAAATATTCCTTGAGGGATATTTTTTTAATCTTATCTAGGAATGTGACCCACTTCTTTGTATCTCTCCTTTAAATATTTTTTCGTAGCATCAGTTGAAATGCCGTTTCAATATTCAAAAATCAAAATCCTATATCACCCACCAAAATTTCCAGTCCCCCAACATCTTTTGTCCAGTTGCACATTGCCCACCCAACAGGTGAAATCACCCAGGTTAGGAAATCCTGGTTCACAGTATGATAATCTCTGCATGCAAAGAAAGGCGTGTTGTTGGTAGTTTGTTATTCGTTCTTGCCACATAAATTCAGGATATCGAGATTTTTACTTTCTTTTTTCAAAATATGATATAGCTAAAAAAAAATGTTTATTAAACACTATTGTTTATTTACAAAAATAATGTTGTCAAATGTAAGCATTTTTTCTTAACACGATTGATCCTTAAATGAACTAATTCTCTTTGAATAAAATTTCTCTGTAAGACAAGCACAAAACATAATGAGACATCCGACAGGATGAGTAGGCAAGCAGTAAGCTACGGACAACCTGAAAGACAAAAATGCTACCACCGTGGAAAACAGAACCATTCAACCAGCCTCCCCACCTAAAGCAGGATGTGACACAAGGTCGTCTTAACGTGAGGAGCGTCATACATAGAACGCAAAGAAACTCTACATTTGAATAACTCCATTTTTTAGTATACTTCGTAAATGCCAAGAAATCTAAGGCTATTAAACTCAAGGAACCAAATCTTATCTAACACCGCTTAATTTTTTTTCTTTTCAGTTTACGTTATTATTATTATTATGCAAAATATTTTCACAACAGTAATTTTACGTTTCTGTCGTGTTTTTCCATTTAATCCTTTCTTTATATTTTCATTTCAACGTCGACACTTTTACATAAACTAAAACGAACAATAGGAAAATTCGATAGGTTTAGGGAGAAATCCCTACAAAATCATTTGCGAACAAAGAAATCATCTCGTTTTGTTTTTCTCCTTAAATTTTCTGGCCTTGAAAGGTACGTGGAAGAATACAAATAATTTTGATAAAAAACGAAATAATTATTATTTTCTGACATGCCTCACTATTTTTTTATTCAATATTTGTTAGTGTTTTTGTTACCAAAAGAAAAAAATGAAAATAAATTCCGTTTTGATTTTTTAAAATATAAACAGAAACTTGGACCTCCACTGAAAATCCGAAGGTTTAAAAAAAAAATGAAAAATTTTTCTTAAAGCTTTTAGTTTTAATTTCAAGTTAAAATATCTCCAATAAGCAAAATACTTCTCTCTATTTCAAAAACAAAAACTTCAAATTGACTGGAAGGATTATTTTTTATTTTTTTTATTTTTCTAAAATAACAGATTATTAGCGCAATTTTTAGCCACCTTCCGTTT